CGAGGCCAAGGCCAAGGCCGAGGAAGAGGCCCGGCTTGCGGCCGAGGAGGAGGCCCGGCTTGCAGCAGAGGCTGAGGCCAAGGCCAAGGCCGAGGAAGAGGCCCGGCTTGCGGCCGAGGCTGAGGCCAAGGCCAAGGCCGAGGAGGAGGCCCGGCTTGCGGCTGAGGCCGAGGCCAAGGCCAAGGCCGAGGAAGAGGCCCGGCTTGCGGCCGAGGCTGAGGCCAAGGCCAAGGCCGAGGAGGAGGCCCGGCTTGCGGCCGAGGAGGAGGCCCGGCTTGCAGCAGAGGCCGAGGCCAAGGCCAAGGCCGAGGAGGAGGCACGGCTTGCAGCAGAGGCCGAGGCCAAGGCCAAGGCCGAGGAGGAGGCCCGGCTTGCGGCTGAGGCCGAGGCCAAGGCCAAGGCCGAGGAGGAGGCCCGGCTTGCAGCAGAGGCCGAGGCCAAGGCCAAGGCCGAGGAGGAGGCCCGGCTTGCGGCCGAGGCTGAGGCCAAGGCCAAGGCCGAGGAAGAGGCCCGGCTTGCGGCTGAGGCCGAGGCCAAGGCCAAGGCCCGCGCAGCACTGTTTACGGCAGTGGCACCGACTGTGGAGGAGTCGACGCCGTTGAGCATCAACATCCGAGGCCGGCGTCCCGAGCCCGGTCGTGTCCGCGCGTTTCTCTTTACCGAGTCACCTGCCAACCCATGGTTGGTGATGACGCAGACTGGTCACGACCAAGCCATCCAGCGCCTTGATGCAAAGACGGCGTGCCTTTCTGGCCTCTCGCCGGTCTCGTCAACGATTACGTCGGATGCTGGACTCCGCGCCTCGCGTCGGCGGCCCGCGGCCGACAAGGCATCGGCACGCCCGCTGAAGATGGCATTCCACAAGGCCAGCGATGGCGAGCCCATTCCCGGCCATGCGCACGCGGCCACAACCATGACTCTCGGCGCTCAGGTGCTCACCATCAGCGGCGCTGACGATGGCACTGTCACTGTTGCGCCAGCAACACAGGCAGGTCCTACAGCAAGCGCGGAGTCGACTGTGCCTGGAGCCGACAGCGTGCCCTCAAGTCTGACCGCCACCGCCACCGCACTCGCCTCGGCCCCGCTCGCAGTCTCAGTCTATGTGGAAAGCGACCAGGCGGTGTCGACGCAAACGCTGCCGCCAACGGGACACCCCGCCGCCGGTCGCATTGGGCGCGCTCCACCCATTTTGTTCAGCGGCCTGGGTCCCGATGGCGGTCGTCGTGTCTTGCCGCTCGACGCCCGGTCGGCCTGTCTTGATGTCGAGGACGACCGCCCACCGGTCTCAGTCACTGGTGACGACGTGCCGCAGACTGGCATTGTCACCAGTGTCCGCAAGCTTGGCCACAACAAGTCGGTTGTTCAGCTCGCGCAGAGAGGCCTTGCGCCCACCCTCCGTGTCAATCATCACGTCAGCGATGCGAGCCATGGTATCACAAGCGGTGACATCTTTATTGCCAGCGATGGTGCTGCTACTGTCAACGCGTCGAGCTCAGACTGTGGAAACAGCGACGGCGGCGCAGGTAGCATTCACCACGGAGCCGATGAGAGTGGCGCGACTACCAATGGCACTGGCAACGATGATGCTGAAGGCGATGATGGTAGCGATGCTGCTGTCGTTGCGGCTGTGGCTGCTGGCGCAGGTGCTGCTGTTGTTGCCGGTGCTGCTGTTGCTGGCGACGAGCCAGCCCCTGCTGCACCGAAGACAGTGGTTGTGGAGGACTCTGCTCCGGTTGTCTCGCGCGTGTGCAAGACGACCGAGTCGTCGTCCATCGCCGCCGCTCCGCCTATCGTGCTTGCCGGTGACGCTGGCGGTGTCCAGCCACTCGTCTCCAAGTCGGCGACGGTGTCGGTTGATGCGACTGGTCCCAACGCTGACGTACTCAGCAAGAACACACCCGAGTCTGCCGTGGCTGCTCGTGTGGTGCCCAAGGCATCCGTGGCCGGCGCTGCCGCTCCTGCTGCGCTCGCAGCCGGCGGTCTCGCAACCAAGCACAACGTCGGTGGCGTGACCGATGTTGACCAGATCTACGTTGCTGGTGAGGAGTCGGGCTCGGGCTCGGGCTCGGGCTCGGACGAGGCTTCCGATGCCGCCGACGACAACGTTGGCGCTTCGGACGAGCCCGCCGAGCCTGCTGCCGCCGAGGATGCTGTCGAGCCTGCTGCCGCCCAGGAGCCTGCCGAGGCCGCTGCCGCCGACGACAACGGTGCTGATGGCGATGACGGCAGCGATGCTGCTGTCGCTGCGGCTGTGGCTGCTGGTGCAGGTGCTGCTGTTGTTGCCGGTGCTGCTGTTGCTGGCGACGAGCCAGCCCCTGCTGCACCGAATACCGTGGTTGTGGAGGACTCTGCTCCGGTTGTCTCGCGCATCGCGAAGAGCACCGAGTCGTCGTCCATCGCCGCCGCTCCACCCATTGTGCTTGCCGGTGACGCTGGCGGCGTCCAGCCGCTCGTCTCGAAGTCGGCGACGGTGTCGATCGACGCTACTGGTCCCAACGCGGACGTGCTCGGCAAGAACACACCCGAGTCTGCCGTGGCTGCTCGTTTGGTGCCCAAGTCATCCGTGGCCGGCGCAACGGCCGGTGTTGGTGCTCCTGCCGCCGGCGGTCTCGCGACCAAGCACAACGTCGGTGGCGTGACCGATGTCGACCAGATCTACGTTGCTGGTGAAGATTCGGGATCGGGCTCGGGCTCGGGCTCGGGCTCCTGCTCGGGCGAGGCTTCCGATGCCGCCGACGACAACGTTGGCGCTTCGGACGAGCCCGCCGAGCCTGCTGCCGCCGAGCATGCTGTCGAGCCTGCTGCCGCCCAGGAGCCTGTCGAGGCCGCTGCCGCCGACGACGACGGTGCTGATGGCGATAACGGTAGCGATGTTCCTGTCGCTGCGGCTGTGGCTGCTAGTGCAGGTGCTGCTGTTGTTGCCGGTGCTGCTGTTGCTGGCGACGAGCCAGCCCCTGCTGCACCGAATACCGTGGTTGTGGAGGACTCTGCTCCGGTTGTCTCGCGCGTGTGCAAGACGACCGAGTCGTCGTCATCGTCGCCGCTCCGCCTATCG